CAGTGATTGCATGAAAGAGGTATCTATTTACCTGTGCATCACTGCATAAAATGTTACCTTTAAAAGGGAATTAGACACATTCATGTTGCAAAATTTAGGCTTAAATTGAAGAAAGTAGGGAAAAGCACTAGGCCACTCGGGTATGACCTAAATCATATATCTGATGAATATACAGTAGAGGTGACAAATAGATTTAAGGAATTGGATCTGATAGACAGAGTGCCTGAAGAACTATGGACAGAGGTTCGCAACATTGTAGAAGAGGTAGCAACTAAAGCCATCCCAAAGAAAAAGAAATGCAAGAAAGCAAAATGGCTGTCTGAGGAAGCTTTACAAATAGCTGAGGAAAGAAGGGAAGTGAAAGGCAAGGGAGAAAGAGAAAGGTACACCCAATTGAATGCAGCATTCCAGAGAACAGCTAGAAGAGATAAGAATGCCTTCTTAAATGAACAGTGCAAAGAAATAGAAGAAAACATTAGAATAGGGAGGACCAGAGATCTCTTCAAGAAAATTGGAGATACGAAGGGAACATTTCATGCAAAGATGGGCATGATATCGGACCAAAATGGCAGGGACCTAACAGAGGCAGAAGAGATTCAGAAGAGGTGGCAAGATTACGCAGAAGAACTATACAAGAAAGAGCTTAATGTCCCTGACAACCACGATGGGGTGGTCACTGATCTCGAGCCAGACATCCTCGAATGTGAAGACAAATGGGCCTTACGAAGTCTGGGCAACAACAAAGCTAGTGGAGGTGACAGTATTCCAGCTGAGTTATTCAAAATCTTAAAAGACACTGCAGTACAAGTGCTACACTCAATATGCCAGCAAATTTGGAAAACTCAACAGTGGCTACAGGATTAGAAAAGGTCAGTTTACATTCCGATCCCAAAGAAGGGCAATGCCAAAGAATGTTCAAACTACTGCACCATTGCACTCATTTCACGTGCTAGCAACGTTATGCTCAAAATCCTACAAGCTAGGCTCCAGCAGTATGTGGACCGAGAACTACCAGAAGTACAGGCAGGATTTCGAAGAGGGAGAGGAACTAGAGATCAAATTGCCAACATATGCTGGACCATGGAGAAAGCTAGGGAGTTCCAGAAAAACATCTATTTCTGCTTCATTGACTATGTTAAACTTTGATTGTGTGGATCACAACAAATTGTGGCAAGTTCTTAAAGGGATGGGAGTCCCAGACCATCTTATTTGCCTCTTGAGAAACCTGTATGCGGGTCAAGAAGCAACAGTGAGAACTGGACACGGAACCACTGATTGGTTCAAAATTGAGAAAGGAGTTCAGCAAGGCTGTATACTGTCACCCTGCCTATTTAGCTTATATGCAGAGCACATCATGAGAAAGGCGGGGCTAGATGAAGCACCAGTTGGAATTAAGATTGCTGGGAGAAATATCAACAACCTCAGATATGCAGATGATACCACTCTAATGGCAGAAAGTGAGGAGGAACTAAAGAGCCTCTTGATGCAAATGAAGGAGACGAGTGCAAAAGTTAGCTTGAAACTCAACAGTAAGAAAACTAAGATCATGGCATCCAGTCCTCTCACTTCCTGGCAAATAGATGGGGAAGAAATGGAGGTAGTGACAGGTATTATTTTCCCGGGTTCCAAGATCACTGCAGATGGGGACTGCAGCCAAGAAATTAAAAGATGCTTGCTCCTGGGGAGGAAAGCTATGGCAAATCTAGACAGCATACTAAAAAGCAGAGACATTATTATTATTATTATTATTATTATTATTATTATTAACATTTCTATGCCGCCCCTTGCCGAAACCTCGGCTTACAACACAATAAAACACAAGCCGCTCAGGGCGGCTTACAACACAATAAAATACATTGAAATACAATAGAACATAATAAATTACCATTAAATACAAAAATACACTGAGTTACAAATATAAAATTAAAATTATCAGTATAAAATAAGTAAATAAAAATATAGGAGGAGAAAAGAGAAGGAAGAGGAAGTTGCCCTGGCCAGATCATATGTTTTAACAATTAAAATGATGTTTAAATAAAAAGGTCTTTACCTGGCGCCGAAAAACCAGTAACGACGGTGCCAGGCGGACCTCTTTGGGGAGTGAATTCCATAGGTTGGGTGCCACCGCAGAGAAAGCCCTCCTCCGAGTACTTACTCTCCTAATTTCTTTCATGGAGGGTTCCCGGAGAAGGGACTCTCCCGCAGATCTCAAAGGGCGGTCGGGCATATACGGACGTAAGTGCTCGTTCAGGTAGCCAGGACCCAAGCCGTTTAGGGCTTTATAGGTCATAATCAACACCTTGAATTGGGCCCGGGCTTCAATGGGAAGCCAGTGAAGCTGACGGAGGACTGGAGTCATGTGAGCATAACGCCCCGTCCCCGTCAGCAACCTGGCAGCTCTATTTTGCACCAATTGAAGTGTCCGGACTGTCTTCAGGGGAAGCCCCACGTAAAGCGCGTTACAGAAGTCTAGGCGGGAAGTCACCAGCGCGTGTGTCACCGTCGCCAGGCAGTCGTACTCCAGGTAGGGGCGCAGCTGATTAATCAGCCGAAGCTGAAAGAAGGCGTTCCTCACCACCGCTGTCACCTGAGCTTCCAAAGAAAGCTTCGGGTCGAGGAGTACTCCTAAGCTACGGACCTTATCCCTAAGAGGGAGTGTTGCACCATTCAGGACCAGGTCAAATGCACCCTCTCCGAAACCCGATCCGCCAACCAACAGGACATCCGTCTTGTCTGGGTTGAGTTTCAGTTTATTGGCCCTCATCCATTCCCTTACCTCGGCCAAGCACCGGTTCAGCACAGCCACTGCCTCACCTGGATTAGTGGAAAACGAGAGGTAGAGCTGGGTATCATCAGCGTATTGATGATTCCGCAGCCCACACCTCCTGATGACCTCTCCCAGCGGTTTCATATAGATGTTAAATAGCAGAGGGGATAGAATGGAGCCCTGTGGTACTCCGTGGCATAACTGCCATGACGTAGAGACATGGTCCCCCAGCACTACCTTCTGGAATCGACCGTTGAGATAGGAGCGGAACCAATGCAAAGCAGTGCCTCCAACCCCCAATCCCGCAAGCCTATCCAGAAGGATACCATGGTCGATGGTATCGAAAGCTGCCGAGAGGTCCAGAAGAACCAACAGGGATGCACTCCCCCTGTCCTTCTCCCTGCACAGGTCATCGTACAGGGCGACCAAGGCAGATTCAGTACTGTACCCGGGTCTGAAGCCGGACTGAAAAGGATCCAGATAATCAGTTTCATCCAAGAGTGCTTGGAGTTGTCCCGCCACCACTCGCTCCAACACCTTGCCCAGAAACGGGATGTTGGCCACAGGTCTATAGTTAGTGGCCATCTCTGGATCCAGTGACGCTTTCTTCAGGACCGGTCGTATTACCACCTCCTTTAAAGGGGCAGGCACTCGACATCACCCTGCCAACAAAAGTGCGTATAGTCTAGGCTATGGTTTTCCCAGTTGCAATGTATGGCTGTGAAAGCTGGACCATAAGGAAGGCTGAGAGCCAAAGATCTGAGGCCTTTGAATTGTGGTGCCGGAGGAGACTCCTGCAAGTCCCTTGGACCGCAAGGCAATCAAACCAGTCGGTCCTAGAGGAGATCAACCCTGACTGCTCTTTAGAAGGCCAGATCCTGAAGATGAAACTCAAATACTTTGGCCACCTAATGAGAAGGAAGGACTCCCTGGAGAAGAGTCTAATTCTGGGAATAATAGATGGCAAAAGAAGAAGGGGCTGCAGAGAATGAAGTGGCTGGATGGAGTCACTGAAGCAGTCGGCATGAGCCTAAGTGGACTCCGGGGGATGGTGGAGGACAGGAAGGCCTGGAGGAATGTTGTCCATGGGGTCGCGATGGGTCGGACATGACTGCGCAACTAACAACGAAGACACATTCAGGGAGAATCTGTCTATCAATGGCCATGTTGTCAGCACCATGACTGGAGAGCCTCCATGGGTCAGAATGTCAGTGAGTATTACTTGCTAGGGGACAGGAGCAAGCGTGCCTACTCCCATTGTACTTCCTAGATGGATTTGGTTGCCTCTGTGAAAAGAATGGCCTTGGGTCTTATCCAGCAAAGTCCTAATATGGCAACAGTCTTTGTGCTTTCCAGTAAGGACAAATGTGATTACATATCCAAGTCAGCTTTTTCCCCCAACTGATTCATGTAAATTTGTTGCCATTTTTCGCATCATTGCGCAAAAGGAAGCTGCAATCTATGAATGTAGGCAACTATACTGATTCATTAAGGCAGGAAAGTACGATTTGATTATTTGTGAGATTAGGTGGGGCTTTAAAAACTTAAGTAGGATGTTGGTGGGTAAGCCAAACCCCAACCAATAAGGCAGGGGAAATAAGGTTGTCTTTTTGTTTTTTGGTCAGTGGATATCTCACCGCTATGTAAACCAAGGCTCACTTCTTCTTTCCTGACGCATAGGGGTAAATAATAGAGATGCAATTCCCACTCAAACCCCACCCAAATAAAGAGGTACACCAAAGCCTACTCTCTGGTGCAGAGGGTATTTTCCCTTTAATTGAGTCACAACCGTAAAAACCCAGCATGTTTGTCCCATGCGGAGTTCCGTCCCTCGGTATACACGAAGCGCGATCCATACTGCAAGCTCAATGCCAGTTCTTCTGATTGGATAGTCTCCCACAAGGCGCCCTGTAATTGGTCGAGGCATTCTGTCCCTTTCTTTGCTGAGCCGTACCTGAGAAGTTGGAGAAGAAATGAGAACGGTTGGCGTTGCCATAGCGGCGGAAAAGAAGGGGGAGGCGGGGAACAAGCAACGGCAGAAGGAAGGGAACCCGGAAGAGCAAAGGATTGTGGGTAACCCCTCTCCCCTTTCAAATAGCGAGCTTTGACTAATATTGGGGGAGGTCAATCACTGTGAATCAGTTGGCCTCGAGAAACCAGAGCTATGGAGCAGGAGGGTCTGGGTAATTTCCCGTTGCCTCATTTCCCTTCTGTCCGCAGTGGGTTCTGGGTACAGTGAGCTGGTCTTAACTGCTACTTGGAACCCTCTTTTCACTTTTGTGATTATAGCCGTATTTGTCTCTCCCTCCCCATCTCGGATAACCAAATGTTAAAGAGGCGGGCTGGCCTTCTACAGGAGAGGGAATTTTGGCAGTTGCAATTTTTGTCATCTCCTGCCTTACAGTAGTTGCCTCACGTCTCTCTTCTGCATGCCTGTTCGAGGTAAAAGAGTTCTTGTCATCTTTTGGATGATCTGGTCTGTCCCTTCTGTTCCTCTTAAAACAACAACCCTCAACAAGACAACAAATGATAATGATGCCACTGTTGGTGACCATTGTTAGATCTGATGCAGCCTACTTAGGGTTGCCAGCTGAAGTGTTAATGTACAAGTTTTCGTTCCATATGTAAACAAACACTTCTTGCATAACCACGAATTATGTGTGCTTACTCAGAAGCAAGTCTTGCTGAATTCAGTAGAAGCAACTTCCGGGTAGTCTTTTACAGTTTTTACAGTGCAATGTTATGCATGTTGATGCAAGTCACTGGGGCTTAATGCTTGTTAAATGTGTTTAGATGGCCTGAGCTACTTTGCTCTCCTTCTTATTCTTCTCCAGGTTACATTTCCAGAGTCAGTTCTTTTGGCAAAGAAACAAATGCTACTGGACACATTCCACTTTGCTTTGTGGTTATTGAGATTAAATAGGCACTAGAGCAGTGTTTCTTAGTTTCTTTTGCTAGGTTTTTTTTTTTTTTTTGCATACCAACTCTCATTTTTCCCTCTAGTGGAAGGCCCACTCTACTATTATGCCCCTCTCCCTGGCAAGTTCTCCTTTGCAGTATGAAAGAGAAATCATTACCTTTCCTCACAAAAGGCTATCCATTACATTATATGTGAATTGCCTTGAGAATGTCACCTGCTTGAACAGAGGTGTTCATAATTCATGCAGAGATGCAGTGGACAGATAATCCTGCTGCATATATGCTGAAACTGGTTGAATGATTTCTGTACACCCACTACAGAGACACAGCAGAATTACCTGCTCACTATAGAGGTGCTTTGGATGTAAGCAAGGCTAGAATAATAATTTATACAGAGATACAGTAGGCGGCTCCTCTGTGAATAGATGATTTGATTCTAAGGATATTTATTTTCTTTAATGTATTACAGCATATTAGCAGTTATTATTCAGTACTTAATTTAGGAACTACTACATTAAAGCAAAAGCTTTGAGGGTATATGCAGAAGAAACTCTCTGATGTCTTTACTGTATGTACACATTTTCTAAACAGGAATGTCCAGTTCTGTTCCCTTCACCTCCCTCACTTCTGTGAAATCATATGGTCATCCTGCATTTTATAGTGCAGTTCAGTAAGTTGTCAGTAAAAGGCATTCTGGAAAGGGGGAAAAACAGTACCATGCCTGTAATAGTTATACAAACAAACAGAGTAGGAACTATACTATTAACTTGTTTTTAGAAAGAGCTTATATTCCTTTTAATGCCTCTCTTAGCATGATTTAATCAGGAATCCTAAAATCACTTACCAAAGATTAAGTCCCATGAAATTCAATAAGACAATCTCTGGTAAATGAGTTTAAGCTTTCTGACTAAATTCTAAATGTGAATCCTTAATATTTCAGATTAAATATGCATAATATTGCATTGTTAAAAAGCCATAAAGGGTTAAAGTGTGTTTTTTATGCTAAAGTAACTGTTCATCAATGCTTGGCCATGGAAACATCATGGGGAGAAGCAAAAATATGTGTCAGGATATCATGAGTGTAATTTTAAGGTAGTTTTTCCTTATTCCCTTGTAAAATGGAGCCAGTAATGTGTGCATTTGTTAACAAGGTAATGATCAGTCCATTTATAGTCCTTTATACTGCCCCCCCATCATCAAGATTTTAACCTCTGAGAAGTAGGCATAATATTTTAAATATGAAATATTCTCCCACTGAGTATACTACTGTTATTGGAATGCCATGTATTTTTATCATTTGGTGTTCAAAGGTTATTGCTGCCCAAAATTAGGAAGACCAACTTCATTGTTCAAAGCTGAAAATGCGTGAATCAGTCACTGCCCTCCTATACTTTGGTCCAAAATATCTGTTCCTATCAGAAATCATATTTATGGTCATTATGTTACTACCATCTAGGGTGCGTTAGACTAGGAGGCATTAGACTGGGTATGGAAAATTTGGACTTCGTGAATACCTTTTTCTGCCTTGCAGGAAAGCATCCACCATGAATTTTGAAGGGCTCGATCCAGCCCTTGCAGAGTATGTACCTGCCTTGCATCCTGCCCTGGATCCCCACCTCAACCCTAGCCTGCTACAGAATGTGGAGTTGGATCCAGAGGGTGTGCCATTAGAGGGCATCCCTGTGCCTGATTCAGTGCACATCATGGAAGGCATGTACTCCGAACTCCACACTGTTGTTTCTGAAGTGGGTGTGCCTGTCTCCTTCTCACACTTTGACCTACATGAAGAAATGCTCTGGGTTGGAAACCATGGGGTAAGCAATTTGTTTAAAAAGGAGGGGGATTACACTTTGTATTAGATCATGGTTTTGAGTCAGTTTCATTCATTGCTTGAGATTAATAGCTTGATCTATCACAGAGGTAAGAACATGTGGTCCTCCCAATGTTGTTGGGCCACAACTCCCATCACCCCTGACCATTGGCATGCTGTCTGGGACTGATTGGAGTTGCAGTTCAAAAACACCAAAAATGTTTTCTACCCTTAAGCTACAAGTCGCTAAAGCTGGTTTTAACTTCACTGACTACAGTAAGCTCATCCCAAGTACATTAGTTTATCAGCTGCTGGTTGGACTGCTTATCACTTTTTCCTGAAAATGTTTGCTTTACACTGAAAATAGTCTTGCAGTTTTGTGGTCAGTCTCCCTATATACTTCTTTCATGTTTATCCTCGCTGGGGTAGCATACCTCTTGTAAAACAAACCAGTCTCAAGCAATGATGATTCTGCCATGTGAATGGCTAGCTTGAAAATTACAAGAGCCTATAATTATCTTTTTTTTTTAAGAATACCAAAGATTCCAGCTTTTTTAGTTTTCTTTTTCTTAAGAATGTATACTTCTGTATTTCAAGGATACAACAATGTATTTGCATATAGGATGCTGTTTGTATGTGATTCAGTTAGCCATGTTGAACACCATGTGGTGGAAAAGTTGGATGCGAATTTACCAATTCAAATTTTTTTGAATTTCAAATTTGGCATTATTTGAAAATTATTTGTAAGCCAGGCAACTATGAAGATCAGTTTTGGTGGGAAGATGTAACAGAAACTGTTGAAATGAAATGACTGAGTGAACAGTCTGCATATTCAGATTCTTACATGATATAGCTGGAAGAACTATGGCTTGCATAGTAGCCAGAGATAAAAGCAAGCAATGGATACTTTAGTTAACATGTAGAATTGTAGAACAGAGCAGAGCTGGACATTCTCATGAATTAAAGGAGAATTAGCTGTGTAGGAAGGAGTATGTCTAGTGAATATTAGTGTGTGCCTGGGAAGGTTGTTTAAACAAGTATGTGTCTATTTCTTTGCCTTTCCACCCACTGTGAAATATGTATCTATGCAAGCCTGAAGTGGGTGTGACTAGTTTTGGCTCCCTTTTTTCCCAGGGTCATGCAACATCTTTCTTTGGCCCAGCTCTGGAAAGATACTCCTCTTTCCAGGTGCACAGCAGTGATGACATCCGACAAATCCAAAGCCTGGAAAATGGGGTGCTCTTCTTGACCAAAACCAACCTCAAATACATGTCCCGAGGCGGGCTCATAATCTTTGATTACCTGTAAGTTCTTTCCACTAATGGCCTTTGCAGGGCCTGTCTCATCTTTGGTTTCTGTATAGTTCGCTTACAAAAAGGCCAGGTTAGGCCATTAGAAAACGATGAAAGGTTTTTACTTTCAATTACACAACTATTGCATTTTGATTTGCAGCATGTGTCTTCTTTGCAAGATTGCAGTATGAGAAGAGTATTTTTTTAGGGATTTCATGTCCTGAAAAGAATGTGGTCACATCTCAGCTTAACATAACATCTAGGACACTCCCAAGAGATTTTGTGATGTAACATTCTGATGTAACTTTTCTGCATGTGTGCTTGCAAAGTAAACTGGGAAAATCATTCTGTGACTGGACAACATTACATCAGAATTGGCTCTAATGGTTCCTTTTTCCCCTTCTAGCATGGATGAGAGCGAGGACATGCACAGCCTTCTGCTGACTGATCCCAGCACCTTGCTTGTTGGAGGACTCACCAGCCACGTGTTAGAGATAGACCTCAGCACAGTGCAAGAAACTCAAAAAGTATAGTGCTGCTTGTCAGAGATTTCTTTATTTGTGGCATTGCTTTTGTACTATGTAGTTGGTTCTGCCTGGATTTACACATAGAGGAGCAGGAATATCTGGAGAAAGCATGAATGTTGATGAGTGAAATTGTAGATTTACCCTCATGAAACAAATATGAGAATCTACAGCAGGAACACTTCTTCAGCACATTTAGGACATCTATGTTAAAGGGAGAGTATTAATTCAGAGATGTTGTTCCCCATTGTGATGGATGTGTTTAGGTAGTCTTGGTTCATACTATAAACAAGTTAAAAGAGCAGGAATTTTGCCTCCCACACCAAAGAAATTTCATGGAAGTTACAATCAGATAGTTTCCACTGGAATTTTGATTATATTAAAAAAACCGAAGCAAAAATGAGCTTTCAAAATACAAGGATGACATCAATATTATGCAAACGTCAAATGGTGCAACTGGAAGTGGGTGGAGGTAGGACTCCTCTGGCATGTGATGGGGAACAATGGACTTGCTTTGCATTTTTCCCTGGTGGACAGCAGTGAATCTTCTTCTAAGGAAGATCCCCCAACCCTGCTAACACCTAAAGCAGTTCATGGGAAGTTAATTATGCCAGTTCCAGGTTGGCATGGGTGAAGGTGTGTGGTGATCCTAGTGTCCCTCAGGGAACTGGAAGAAGCAGCTTCTGGCCCATCCTGGCATATAGTTCCAGGGCCTTCTACTGACAGGTGCACTGTCAGTGATAGATTTACAACTTCTGTGTATGTGTAATAGGCTCTCTGGGGCAGGTGTGGCCTTTCTGACATGTGCATTACAAATTTTTGCCACTTCTATTTCAGTGTTATTAAAATACTGGAAGACTATTTCTCACACTGAAAAAATAATAGCCAGTTATAATTATAGAGCTTTCAGCTTTCCCCTTCCTGCCGCAAGCAATATAGCTTCTATGCATCCAAAGTGGTTGCCTTGCCTCTGTCCAGATCTTACCCTGCTTCTTATTATCTATTACAGTACACAGTGGAAGTGCCTGGAGTCACTATCATGCGACAGTCAAATCGTTTCTTCTTCTGTGGCCACACATCAGGAAAGGTAATGTTAACCACTTGATTGCACCCCTGGGTTTTGAGAGTTGTGAGCACGCTAGTTAACACAATCAGAGGGGTTGAAGTCATCCATTGTAAAAATTAGTTATTTCCATCTAGGTAGCAAATCAGAGATTCAGTTCTCTGCTATTGCTAAGTAATATTGCACAGAGGTCAGTTGGATTTTTTTTACCTAGTGGTTCACTTAAAATTTATCTCTGGCTTTGCTAATATAATGACTATCATGTTTCTTTTTATTTCTGCTCTCTGCCTGTGCAGGAACTTGTATGTTGTGCCCAGGACAAGAGATAGATGTCAGTTACAGTGGGTTTTTATGGTTTCAGAAATGAGGATCAGCCATTGTTTCTTTATGCCAGAAACCTAGGTACCATACGATACCACCCAGAGAGCTGTGAGGCAGTATAGAAATAAATAAATAAATAAATAAAACACCTACAGTAAAACATTCTCCCAGTTTGTAATGTCCTTCTTGGGACTGAGTCTAAACTAATCTAATTTATTATTTTTAGGATACAGATGCTATTATTTATTGTTGTATTTATAGATTGGTGTGAGCCATCCAGAGATTAAAGTGATTGGATTGCCTAGAAAAAGCCTAAATAAATAAATAAATAATCTTTGTTGGTCTAATACCCTCTAGAAATTTTGGACCTAAGCTCACACTGCTCTCAGCCAGCATGATCAGTGTAGTCACTGGTCAGGAATCCTGGGAGTTAAAGCCTAAAATATCTGGGAGGATAAAATACCAGGTTGGGAACAGTTGGTCTTAGACCTTTCTGCCTAATATTTGGACTTCTCTATTTTCTTTCCAGTCTCTTGCTTTTTATAACATTTAGTCTGATGAATAGTTTTGGAGAATTCAAGAGCTTGCACACTCTTTTGTAGCACTTTGGTTGTTCCTAATGAAGGAGTTACACCACTCTGGGGTTGTTGTTTTTTTAACATCGACCATCTTTATAGTATTTTTGAAAAGTTTCATGTTAATCTTTCCACTTTTCTTAAGTGAGGGCTTTAAAGGCAGTCTTTTTCTGGTCTGGTTTGACTTTCTTCTGGAATCTTGAATGTTGTTCTCCAGGTTTCTCTTGATGTAGCATTTAGGCTTCAGGTCTTTTGTCTGAATGCTATTCCAGGAGTCTTCCTCAGCTCACCTTTAGGCCCCCCTCAGCTTTTGTCTCATTTGCTCTCAGCTTGGCTGTTTTTGCAGCTGCTCTTCCTCCTGGCTGATGTCTTCTTCAGGCCCCTCAGCCTCTCACCAAGGCAACTCCTGAAGCACCCCTATAGTCCCCCAAATGCCTCTCCACTGCTCCTTATATGGCTCCAGTTAGAACCCTCCAGCCAATCGGGTTTGGGTGGACATCGTTCCATCACTCCACCTCTGTGGCAATCTTTGACCAGTGGGCATCTTTAGAATGCCCAGGTCTTCCCCACTGGGGTCAGATGGTGCCAGCTTCAATCCAACCTTCCCGCATTTAAAGGCAGAAACCTGGCCTCATGTTCACCTCCTTGAAGTAACAGTAACTTCCAGTTTGTCAGCATATACCTCATTTAAAGCAAAGCTCCACTCAGGCACAACCCTCAGGTAAAAAGCATGCCTTTTCTCCTGCTGTTAATCCTTTCAGCCCTTAAGTGGTTGAAACACACTACCACTACTACTACTGTTTTTACTATTATTATTGTTCCACTTCTGTATTGCACCCATTGGGCTCTCTGGCCAGTTTACATTTTGGTTTGGAAACTTTGGTTTCTTCACAAGCTGTGAATTCAAACGTAGTAGTATTGGCTGGATGTCCTATTGCACTACTCTGTGGCTTGGAATACACATTTTACCGGGGAGCCGCCCAGCAGGGCAAGAAGCAGATCTGTGCTGAAGCTGTTTAAATGTAAAGAGAGCTGTCCAGCTACAGAGCCATGTAGAATAAGGAGCAAATTAGGAACTGTGCCAGTGTCAGTTAAGCAGCAACTGCTCAAATTTGCATTTGTAGCTGATCCTGATGCCTAGAGTATATGTCAGTTTTTGCTTTATCCTCTCACATAGAAGAAAAGCCTTAGCCTGCCAAATGTGAGTTCTAGGTTAAAGATCTAGTCTATAGGCCAGGCTTACTGTTGTCTGTGCGTCTAGAGTTGCAGATGTGATAGTGAAAGATCAGGACTGGCACATGGCAGCTTCCTGCCTCCTTAGTCTTCCCAAGTGGGCATCATCCAGAGGATTGTGCTCCAGATAAACCTCAAGATTTGTTGCCTTCTCATGACCCTTGTATGTCCAGAGGTTGAGACCCTTCGATGAGATCGCCTTCAGTTCTGTTTCTAGGCTGGTCAATAGGGATTGGTAAAACATGACACCTGGATACACCAAAGGTGATTAGACATTGCTTTTATGTGTTTTGCACGTACATTGTGCAAGAGGCATGTGTAGAGAACAGCTCAAGGTATATTCAGGGAGCAGGTAGAGAAAGACGTTCATCTTATGCAAGGGACGTCAAACTATTTCTCATCTGTTCTCATAGGGTATTTTCTCTCTCTTCATTAGGTGTCCTTGCGTGACCTCCGCACTTTTGCTGTAGAGCATGAGTTTGATGCCTACTCAGGTAGTCTGTCAGATTTTGATGTCCATGGCAACCTTCTGGTCACATGTGGCTTCTCCAGCCGGATGAATGGTCTGGCTTGTGATCGTTTCCTCAAGGTATATGACCTGCGCATGCTGCGAGCCATAACACCTCTGCAGGTTCACATTGATCCTCTTTTTCTGAAGTTCATTCCTACTTACACATCTCGTCTGGCCATCATTTCCCAGACAGGTAGGTGGCTGGGCAGAGGATGTCCTATGGTGTCAGATTTGGCTATGAGACATTCTGGAACACCCTATCTCATTCTAATCTGATTTTCTTCCAGAGATAACCCTTGTGGGAAAGGACTGAAATTTTGTTGGGGTACATTTCCATTCAAGACCATGAGATAAATCCTGTTCTTGTTTTGCTGTCCTTACCTGTCCTGTCTAGGTCAGTGTCAGTTCTGTGAACCGACTGGATTAGCCAACCCTGCTGACATTTTCCATGTCAATACAGTGGGCCAACTGATCATGAGCTTTGATGTGTCTGCGAGCAAACAAGCCATGGTCTTTGGGGACTCAGAGGGCTGTGTCCACCTGTGGGCTGATTCACCTGAGATCACCTTCAATGCCTACTCCCGGGAGACTGACTTTGCCTTGCCTTGTATTGTGGATAACTTGCCCCACCTTGACTGGAATCAAGATCTCATGCCTTTGTCACTTATTCCTGTGCCTCTGACCACTGAGTCATTGTTGTCAGACTGGCCAGCTGCCAACTCTGTCCCTGCACCCAGGTATGTATGTATATACATACAAACATACTTATTTAGCAGAGATCACAAGACAGTGTAGAGCTTGGGGTGCGGGGTATGTGAAACAGGAGTCGGTGCGCTTGATTTATTATTTCCTCTCTCTTATTCTGGTCTATATTAACATTTTACAGGCATTTTATTTACTATGGATGATCCTATTTCAGTCTTTACTTATTTATGAAGTCACCCTATGGATCCTGTTAGAACCATGTGGTGGGCCACGTACTGAAAAAAAAAGAGAATCCTTTCAGAGTTTGGTAATATCAGCACTCAGAAATAGAAGTCAATAATGATTTATTCCAGTACCAGCTAGGCATTACATTTGGATTATCAAAGATTGTGCAGCTCCTCAAATAGATGCTTGCGTCTCTTCACAGGGCATCACTCATTGCAAACCATGGTGTTAAAGAACATTATCAAACAGGAGCTGAACACACTTGTCTGAGTCCTAGTTTGTTTTGCAGACGAGCCCCACCTGTTGATCCAGAGATCCTTCGTACCATGAAGAAAGTTGGCTTCATAGGATATGCTCCAAATCCCAGAACCAAGCTCCGGAATCAGGTATTTATATATTTTTCGATTTATATCCTGCCTTTTTCCTACAAAGGGCTCAAGGCAGCTTACATCATTCCCCTCCTGCATCTTATCCCCACAACAACAATCCTGTGAGGTAGGTTGGGCTGAGAGTCTGTGACTGGCCCAAAGTCACCCAGCTGGCTCCATGGCTGAGCGGGGACTAGAACCCAGATAGTCTGAGTCCCAGTCCCATGCTCTTAACCACTACACCACACTGGCTCTCAACTTACTGGGTTACTGGGTCAGCTCTCAACTTTTTGCCCATTAACTGCTTTCAGGGCTGGATTGTCGTTATCATATGTATTAATAAATGTTTTACTTCAAAAGGTCTGATGGTTTAGACTAGTCTTCCTCAACTGCTGCCCTGAGATGTTTTGGACTTCAATTCCCCCCACCCTCACCCACATTGCCAATGGTTAGGAATATTGCTTTCCAGCTCTTCTGAAGTGCACCGAGTTGAGGAAACTAGTTTAGGCTGAGGCCAGGGAAACCATTTTTTCGTGTTAAGTCTGAATGTATGTGTTTATGTTTGCATTGTAATCGGGTATGCTGTTGATTTTAAGGAAATGTAGATAGCTTCATGTGTGGACCCTGTTGACTGTAGCTTGCCTTAAAGGAACCAGTAGCATATCCTATAATTCTGTGGCTATGGAATGGCAAGATATGATCTGGCTTGAGTGGTTTTTCACATTGGCTGTTAGATCTTCAAGGACATGCTACAGTAAAAATGGAAATACATGAATAACTTACTGCATATGTGCTTCTGCCTTATAGAGCACAAGGCAGAGGCATGCTTGGTTTTGTTTATTCACAGAAAGCTTGCTACATAGATGTGCATTTGAGGGTAAAGTGGTGGGAAATAGGCATGTTGCTGCCTTGAGTGTAATGGCATTGAGATTTCATCTTCACCTGCTTCTAAAGACTGAATCAGCTCTGTTCTGGCCTTGGAAAAATCATAAAATAGACCTTTTTATTCCAGTGATATTTTAATAAGTTTTAATATTGTCTTTTCTATGTTTTTAGCTGTAGCCAGTGTGGGTCAGGAATTTATTTATGTTATATTTTATATTGTAAGCCTCCCTGAGGTTTTTTTGTGAGTAGGACGGCATATAAATATTTTAAATAAATGAATAATGTAATAAAAACAGGAGTGGACACAGTATGCTCTCCAAAAAGTTTACAATGCTCCTGTCTTCTGCAGATTCCCTATCGCCTGAAAGAGCTTGACAGTGAGTTTGACAATTTCAACCAGGTTCCTGAGTCCCCCATTGGGCGGGAAGAGGAGCCACATATCTACATGGTGGCAAAGAAATACAGGAAGGTCTGCTTTTAAATGATTCCCAGGGTGTTGGACATTTTTGCACCTGTGCATGTGTGTGCTCATGTATAATATGGAGACAGATGTGAAGAAGTTTCCAAAGAAAAACATATATGGATAGGAAAGACCATCATGAGTGGAAGCAAGCTTTTCAACGAGCCCTACAAATTCTAACCCCATCAGAAACACAAATGAATTTACTATTCTTGGTGGAATGGTTTGCAATGGTTTACTGGTGGATCACAGATGGATGGGTTATGTGGGGGTTATGCATGTAGCGCAACCCTGAGTAGACCATAGAATAACCATAAAGTAAGAAAACTGAAAAAGAAAACTGAATGATGTTACTTATACGCTTTCGTGTGTTTGAGTCACAATTGCTGCACTGAAATAGGGGTAATGATCACGTTGGTGTGTCTGTCCTATTTACATAAATGTATTATTACCACACAACTATTTTCTGGATTTACTTACTTAGGTAACAATTAAATATTCTAAACTGGGCCTGGAGGACTTTGACTTCAAACATTACAACAAGACTCTTTTTGCTGGCCTGGAACCCCACATTCCAAATGCTTACTGCAACTGCATGATCCAGGTAGGCATGGTTCGCCTTCCCTCTGATGCACTGTGCAGTCTCCTCCTACCTCCAGGAACTTCTTCCTCTGATGTCATCTTCCTGCCTGACGGGTTTCTGCGCCCCTCCCTGCTCTCCCCCGCCAGTGCCGGTGAGAGCGATGCCGGTTTGGGGCGGGTTTTGCGGGCGGGCGCCGGTTTAACCCGTCGGGCCCGGCCTGGGGCAGGGCGGGCTTGGAGCTCCCTCCCCCCACGGACATCAGCCGCATTCCGCAGCTCAGTTTTCCTGCTGGGCCGTGCTGCGCAGTCACTGCCGCTGCCGCCAGACTGGGGCACATCGCCAAGGGAAGGGGGAGTTTTTTTATTGTTTTTATAATTTTATTGTATTTTAATCTGTCTTAATTTGTTTTTATGGAGTCGTCCCTGGCCATGTCGATGTTTGTGTTTCCTGGGGAGCGCAGGGGCGCCGCCATTGGGGTGATCATGGGCAATGGACGTAACAGTGGTGGGGGCTTAACGTGTCCGTGTAGAAGAAGGAGGGACAAATGGTTGACACCTATCCCTCCTTCTGGTTTTGCCCCCAGCCAGAGGGTGCCAGGTAGTCTTGTCAACCACCCCTCGGGCCTGACGGTGCTGCTGCTCAATGCCATGTCGATCAACAATAAATCTTCCCTCATCCATGACTTGATTGTGGATGAGGGGG